GGGTCTTCCTTCCCTCCACAGACGTGGAATTCCTCCAAGGTGAACTCTTATTCAGACTGAGAACAGTGGACACTGTCCCCTGAGCAATTTTACAGGAAGCACAACAAAAATGGAGTGTTTTACAGGTAACAGAACTGCACAGGACCAGAAAGGCAGGACTTGCATGGCAAGAGAAGGAAATTACAGCTTTCCTGCACTACTGTTGCAGGAAATAGCAGACTCCAGTCCCAGAGTTCTGTTTTACTTGTCAAAAGCAGGACGCTTCAGACACAGAAACATCACTGTCAGCCAGGACAAGATCATGCGAGTAGCGAGGTGTGCTGAATGGCCATGGCTACAGAAATAAGAAGAGGTGAAATGGAAAAAAAAAATAAAATCCACTGAAAGGTATTTCACTGAAAGTCAAATTGTATACTGAAAATTTGCTATTTCATTGAAAATTTGAAAACAATCCAAAGAAAACCAAACTCTTCTCATCTCAGTTTCAAAGAGGAAACACGTATTTACCGTTGGCAATTTCACATAATTTTCAAGAGCAGACACAAATAAGGCACCCACAGACAATGAAATCCCATTCTGCAAATCAGTGAGAAGACTTACCGGCATTCTTCATCACTCTTGATAAGAGGGTCAGAGCCCACAGTACCCACAAGGAATTTGGGGCTCAGCAGCGGCAGGCGGACGTGCTGCAGGACCTAGGAGACACACACAAACCAAAAAAAAGCATCACTAAAGATGAGAGACACCCCCGGAGATAGGAGGAAAAGCCAAACAGAAATATTCAGCTATTTAGTTGCTGGCTAGCAAGTTTGATAAACAATTCCTCTGGCAAACAAACCGCGTGATCGCTTCCCTAGGCAAATTGCCACTCTAGTTGTCTAGTGCATCAATTGAGTCAACAGCCTAGTCTTAAATGGGCCAGTCCCCTGAAAAGAAGCTATCAAGTGAAACGCCTACAAAACTGCAGATGTCAATATATCTGGCTGAACCACTAGCTTAGTTAGAAGTTTTATTACCAATTAAGAGTTGTTTAGCCCTCTTAAATTTAAGTGGCATTGTATCGTAAATGAATGATAATAAATAACATCCCTTTCACAGAAGCTTAGACTTCAGAGATGTAACTAGCTATCCACAGAAGGAACTACAAAAGGCAGAGCTGTATGAGTACTAATAAGTTGGCTTGAGGAAAACAATTCCTTTTTAACAATTTTCAAAAGCTTTCCATTAAATAAAGTTGTGCTTAACATCTATTTCCAAAGCAGAAAAGCCGAGGCAGACAGTCTCTCACCTCCTTTGATCAGAAAGCCTGAGACTTCAGAAGCTTTTTTGGCTGACAGCTTTGTCAGAATGGATACATCTTTCCCAAATGCTTTGGCTTTAGACAAAACATCAGCTTTCAACAAAAGCATTCTGACAAGCTCCAGCATAAGATCATAAGGGCTGAGGCATMAATCAACAAGCAGAGGTTAAAAATATACCTCAAATGAAGACAAGCCTTTTTTTTTTCCACTGCTCTCTCTTTCTCTCTCTCAATTCCACTCTACTTTTTTTTGTACAGCACCCTAAGCAACGGAGGCAGGCTTGTCTGGACTGACTGCTGGAACGATCCTGTTTGGCAAGYCCTACCTGGAAAGAATTCACTAAAGCCCCTTCTGCAGTTCTGGGCTGCTACTACCTTCAGGTGAAGGGGAAGACAAGTCTTCCACCTTCATGGAAATCAGGGAGGAGCACAGAGGGCCCTCAGACCTGGGACACTGCTGTGGYTCCACGCTCGCAGCCCACATCAGTCGTCCCCCGGACGAAGCAGCTGGACGTGTTGCTCTGCTCAGGGTTACCTGTGGCAGCTGGGGTCTTCTCTCCTGAATGCTGTACTTCACCCAGGCCATGACCGCGTTGAAAACCTGCTCCTCGCTGCGCACGTTCAACTCGTCGCTGGAGATAATGTCGATGAGCTGGTTGGCAGGCAGCAGCATGAATTCCTCGCTCTCCATTACCTGGTTAAGCAGAAAGGAGTAAAGAAAAACCCAAGATCGGTGGTCAAAGCTCCAGCACTATTTGCGGTCCAACGCGAGGCTAAAGGAGAGAGGGTCTGCTCGAGTTAGAGCCCATGGATGGATCCCACCAAGTGCCAAACACCTACAACTGTTAGAGACAGCAGCCAGAGCGAAGGGTTCGCTGCACAGAGCAGTCCCCAACAAAGCAAAAGTCACCTTCAGATGGTGATGCACGTGAAAGGGAAATTTTATACAAAAGTTGTGCAGATTGCTTTCGAAGGGTTAAACCACAGAACACATTGATCTGACTTCAAAATGTAGGAAAAACAAAGCCCTTACCTAAACCCGGCCCCCTCATTTGCCATGTGTAATACATAAAGCAGCAATAAAATGTGAGGCAGACAGTAAATATTTGACAGAAAAAAATAGTGTCTGAATAGAGAGGCTTTATTCATAATGAATCCAAAACAGCACAAAAAATAACAATCTCAGAAATAAGTTACCAGCGGCATTGTAGAGAATATGGAAAGATCTTCCTGACTGCTGATTTGCAGCAGAACAGCAAGTATTTCAGGACAGAGACGGACTCATTTGATCCTCGCTGTCATTTGCTCTAAATAGACACTGAGAGGATGCACGAGCCCAAATGCATTTAAGAGGGAATCAGAGCCTGCTAAGGCCCCAGGGACTGATCCTCGGTGGAACTCGAGGCACTGACAGTCTGCAAACACGTGCATTCCTTCAGTACCCCAGAGAGCGACCACGCTCCTGGGGAGGCTGCAGCTGCCACTAGAGGACCCTCCGCTCACACCAAGTGCCCCAAAACTCCCCCGTGTCAGGCTCAGCCTGGACACTGCTGTGAGCAGCTCCAGAGCGAGCAGCCAGCCCTGCCTCACGCCCCCGTTTCGGGCACAGGGCAGAGGAGGCCGAATGGAAGGGAGCTGCAGCAGTGGTTTGACTGCTCATCGCCAACTCAGCCTCCCCGCAAGCGATGCCAGGCTGCAGCCTGGAATCTCGGGCAGCCTCAGGGATGGAAAAACACCAAAAATTGGCCTTTCCCTTCGTTTGCGGCTAACATTACCATTCTGCGACCTATTTTAGGATCCATGGCACGAGCGAGAGAAATCCATTCTCTTTAATACAATCATCTCWGCAAGAATCAGCTGCGTGGTCTTTTTAATTACCTAAAGAACTGATTCAAGAACACTGAATGAATATGCAAAAAAACAGCCAGGCTGCTGACAACAGCAAATGTTGCTAAAAGGAAACGCAAGAGACAACAAGGTCAGTTAYCAGGGATTTTTTCCAGGATCCTATGGGCTGTCAGAGAGCAGTCAGAGTCGCAACAAAGTTCTCAGACACTTCTTCAGCCTTGGAGCTCAAGCTGAGACAGCCACAAAGACCCGTGTCAGCATTTTGCAGAGTCTTCCTCGCTTTTACACACACCAGCTTACGTGTAAATCCTACCTTGAGGGTTTGTAAATGCACCCTGATGTCTAAGAATAGAGGTTCTGGATATAACATAACTTACACCCTCACAAAACCCCGTCATACCTCACTGGACTCAAAAATTGCCAGCACTTCTGAAAATCCAGTCTTCGCTGCCATGCACCTTGTTAGATTACACAGTAGGATRAACACTTTTAAACATTCAGTCTTATTTTGGGCTTAATTATCAGGACATTAAAAATTATTTGACTAATATTAACAGTCCGCCATTTACTGGCTAGAAGCAAGTAAAGCAAGCATGAAATTGTCTTCATTTTTTTATACTGAGTAAAATACAACACTTTTCATTACTGTATTTGCATAGAGATAGAAAAAAATATATAAGAGAAAATGGAGCACAATCTTTGCCAACTGAAACAAAGTGCAAGTTGTTCATCTCTGTGTGTGTTTTTTCACTTCATACAGATGTCAGAGATCAAGCAAAAAATACGAAGGCTGKTTTTTTKTTGTTTTGTACAACAGAGCTGTTAGCAGAACTGTTTCACACTGCGTGCACCACATTCACCAGGGGTTTTAGGCAACAAATCAAACTGAGGGGAATGGAAGACTTGGAGAAACGTTTTCCCAAGGAGTGAATGATGTAATGCAGCAATCCACATAAGAGCTAATAGAAGTGGAAACTAGCACAGCAGAGGACATGCAGCAATTTAGACTGCATTCAAAGTAACTGCACGGATTGGCATGATGCCTAATGCTTAATATTTTACATTGCCATCCAGGAGACTCCCATCTCCTGTTTCTTTTCCTTTTGGCCAGCTTGGAGGGGTCACAGTCTCTGCAGGGGAGGGAACTTCACATATTAGTTTTCAACCTCCACATGGAGGGAGGCAAAACGCTGAACATCACCCGCCAAGCAGGGAGTGCTCCCATCCTTTYCATCCAATTCCTTTCCGGAGGCCATGATTTAGTTAAGGAAATTATCATCTGTGCCATTTCTGAGGGAGAGTGTCCTCTAGAGTCCAGAAGTTTTTCCTGCACGTGCTTTCATGGGAATAAGGAGGATGGGATGCTGCCTTTGATGGACTGCAAAAGAAGAGAACCTCTCACAACAAGCAGCTCTTCTAACAGTTCCAGATTCCAGTGCGTGTATTAATGCTAAAACACCAAAATGCAGAATTGCTGTGCTGTAAAACAAGTTATTTAGAGGCTCGTAAGCATGCCCTGTTCACGTAATAACGAGAAGAACTAGCTCTAACCATTAAAACCACCAAGCACTGAAARTAAGCGACCATCTGGTTACCATCCTGCTCCCCCTAAAAAATGCAAGAGAAATGCAGAGCAAGCACAGCACACATGAAGAGTGGCCAGYTAAAATGCTGGGTTTGAATGTCGGGCTTTTGGGAAATCACCAAGTTCTGCAAAAAAACAAGCTCTCAACTTACACACCAAAGGCATTTTTTTTCTAGCCTTTATGGCTAGGAAAGCCATATTTACCGCAAATTTATGAGTATGCTGATGTCATGGGCCAATAGTTAAATATCAGATATTGTCTTCAGTGCATGCAGTAGTTAGGTTCAATTGCGTTTGCTTCTTCCCATGATTTAATTAAGTACTACCTGGCTGAAATTAATACAACTCCAGTCCCTTTCCTGGAAGAAAAAATAAAAAAATAAAAAAATAAAAAAATAAAAAAAAATAAAAAATAAAAAAATAAAAAAATAAAAAAATAAAAAATAAAAAATAAAAAATAAAAAATAAAAAATAAAAAATAAAAAATAAAAAATAAAAA